ACTATTTCTAGCAGTCTGCAAAAGCCATAAGTAACTTTTCCAGCTCTGTTTTTGGTGTGTGTGTGTGTGATGAGTCAAATTATCCCCTCATATACATTTCAGCAGCAAACTCTTAATTTCTCTATCAGTAACTTGGATGATGGAATAGAAGGCATCCTTATTAAATTTGTAGATGACACCAAATTAGGTGGGGTAGCTAATACCGGCAGGATCAGAATTCAAAATGACCATAACAGATTAGAATCCTGGGCTAAAAGCAAGAAAATCACGGAGAATCATGGAGAAATGTAGAATACTACACTTGGGCAGTAAAAATGAATGCACAAATATAGGATGGGTGACACCTGGCTTGATGGTAGTACATGTGAAAGGGATCTAGAAGGCTTAGTGGACCACAAGCTGATAATGAGCCCATAATGTGATGTGGCAGCTAAGAAAGCCAATGCTTGATGGTAAGAGATGATCAACAGTGGAGTATACTGCCTTGAAGTGTGATGGAGTTTCCTTCTTTGGGTTTTTTAAAACAGAGGCTGGATAGCCATCTGTCAGATGTGCTTTGATTGTTTATTCCTGAATGACAGGGAATTGGACTGGATGTCCCTTGTGTTCTCTTCCAACTCTATGATTCTATGATTCTACTCCAGATATATGAAAATGAGATTTGAAACATCATTTACATTCATTAGAAATACTTTAGGAAATATTTGGTGATTTTCCTCTGGATGCCATCCTGAATAACCATATTGGACAATGGGGCTGTCCCAGCATGTACTTTACAATTTATTGTTGTTCTTAACTGTCATGTGGTGACCGCGTGGATGAGACATCTCCAGTCTTGATATTAGTTTGCAAGTAAAAAGAAGTAAAAATGACTGATGAATATTTGTAGGCTAAGTTATCTAGAAAAATTATTTTACAAGAAGAGTGTGTCTGTGGCAATATTGTACAGAAAAGTGGCAAAAATTGTTCAGGAAGTTTATATAGACAAGGAGCAGTAACATTAAGACTGAATTTCTACATCCATTTACCACTGGGGGTAACTGCCATCTAACTTGGTGAAACCTATTTTTGAGAAGGCATGGAAAATGTATTTGTTAGGTTTACTTTCCTTGCACATGAGACCAACTGAGATTGGCAGCAGAACAGAATATCTTGCCTCAGAAATCCATAAATTTTCTGGGCTCATGATGAATTTCAGAGCAAAAATGTGCACACATTTTTTTGGAAAAATACAAACACATTTGAATTGGTTGGAAAATGTGTACAAAATGCAGACATTAGAAGAATGCAGACAAAAATGCATACATTGTTGAATAAGTGTTCACAAAAACATGCATGATTTTTTATGCAGAAAGGAAAAAATTCTCCCAACCCAATTTGGAACTAGAATGGGAACCATGCAAAAATGTTAGTGGATTCTGAGAAGCATGAAGAGACTGATGAATGTTCATATCACTATTTCTGAAAAGGCATTGAACTTACTGCAAGTCAAAACATTTGCTTGATTATTCAAACATTGCGTAATTAAATAATAGTCTTTGCTTAATTGATCAGTCAATTAAAGAAAAATTGAGGATTTTCAGTACAAGTACTTTCAAAAGCAGAAGATGAGGGAGCCATTTTAGAAGAGGTATTTTCCCTTCTCACTTTAACAGCATCAACATGCTTCTTTTAATGCCTTTCATTTCTTCCTTATCTAAAAACAAGGTACAATTTTTCTTTAGGACTGCCTTATCTTTAGGTGTGTCTTATCTAAAAACAAGGTACAATTTTTCTTTAGAACTGCCACAAATAAGTAAAATCCAACTTTGTGTCTGCAGAATCCCAAGCTTTTTTGTTCTCTCATCATCCTCCCAAAAAGGTTGTTGTGTGGAGGAAACTTTGCTGGTTCATTTTTCCCTCTCACTGGAAGCAATGAGAAGGTACATTTTAAGAAGCCTATCCCTGCCTTCTCTGGCAAACATGCATCTGATAGGACTTCCATCATGGATGATCTGCCCAACCACTGGTCCTCAGGAGTACTCATCTTAGCTCTTAGAGCCAATGAATTACAAGTTCTGTAAGTAGCATATAGTCCTAGTAATAGCTTGTGTGAAAGGACTTGATTAAATTATGAACCACTTTAAATAGTTTTTTTGTGGGTTTTTCAGGCGATGTGGCTGTGTTCTAGAAGAGTATATTCTTGAAGTTTTGCCAACATCTATGGCTGGCATCTTCAGAATGAATTCTCTCTTCATTCTCTGAAGATGCCAGCCATAGATGCTGGTGAAACATCAGGAATAAACTCTTTTAGACCACAGCCTCACAGCCCGAAAACCCCACAAAAAACTATGGATGCTGGCCATGAAAGCTTTCGACTTCACATATGAACCATTTCTTTCCTGCATTATTTGCTATAACACTGGATTTGTTTTGAAACTTCAGAAGCTATTGGTGGCTAGCTGGAATATGCATGTATGTTTGAAATGTGCTGGATTGTCATTCTACAGCATTATGAGGTGTTCCTTATTAGCAGCATCCATACATTTAATATTTTCCTTAAATGAGGCCCAACCAAATAAATACATGCTGTGTTCTGGGAAGTGGATGAATCTTAATCATATAGCTGGTCCTAAGCAGTGGGGGAGTGTAGAGGAACACACAGAATCAGATTAAAAATTAAAAAGGAAGATGTTAGTATGCAACCAAGTTAGTTTGGGAATGTCTGAACATATGCTCAATTTCTTTGCTGAGTCTTAAATTTTAAGTAAAATGGAATGGCTACTTAAAAGAAATTCAAATTAATTATGTAGTTCAAAGTCAAGGACTGTTCAGGCTAATCAGATTATGATGTAACTATCTTTGTGCAAGACCCAGAGGGTGAAACATTATTGCAAAGCAGTGGTTTGTTGAATGACTCCTAATAGATTATGGTATAATTAATTACTTCTGGTAGAAGAGACTGTTATAACAATACACAAGGAAAAATCCATTATAAACCACTCTTTGAATGCTGTTCATCAGTCATTCTTAAATTGCCATCTAATGTCCCCTTCCAGTAGCTTCCAAGGTTACAGTGACGATAGCAGTTAAATGTCAAATAAACAGAAATTTGTTTCACATGTTCACTTTATATGGAAGAGGCAACTTTTCCTCTGTAATGTTCTGGACTGGAAGGATTGAGCCATTCATGTCCTGACCAAACAATGTTCAAGGGTTTGCCTTCCTCTTTTCCTACTGCCTTCAGTTTAGTCATCTTGGTTTCTAGGGAGAGTTTAGGCCCGATTTGCTTTGTTGTTGTTGTTGTTGTTGTTATGTGCCTTCAAGTCATTTTCAACTCAGACGAACCTATCATAGGGTTTTCTTGGCAAGATTTGTTCAGAGGAGATTTTCATTGCCTTCACCTGAGGCTGAGAGAGTGTGACTTGCCCAAGCCCCCCCAGTGGGTTTTATGGCTGAGCTGGGAATTGAACCCTGGTTTCCAGAGTCATCGTCCAACACTCAAACCACTACATCACACTGGCTCTCCTGATTTGCTTTAGGATCCATTTTTTTGTCTTTTCATCAGTTCATGGTATCTGTAGAACTCTTCTCCAGCACCACATTTCAAATGAGTTGATTTTCTTATCAACTTTCTTCACTGTCCAGCTTTGACAACCATACATAGAAAGTAGAAATATGATGGCCTTTGTACTTTCTTCTTTGATGTTCTTCAGTAATAATTCCAAATCTTTGCTATTTTCTGCTAGTAGAATCATAGAATCATAGAATCATAGAATCATAGAATCATAGA